GAATACGCGTCGGCGCTCGAATCTGCCGCTAGTGTGGCTGAACGTTCGTCTTCTTCGTCTTCTAGTCGTGCGTCTTCCGCTCGAGCATGCGCAGCTAGCGGATGGTCTTCCCAAGTGACCACTACGCTGGAAATTTCCGCTGATCGAGGCTTCGTGGTCGTCAGGAAGTCCACTAGAGTCCTATGGACGCCAGCCTCGCCTTGTTCTTCCTCTGAGGCCGCCTGGTCGTCCACGTATCGTACGCGGTGTACGGATAAGTTGCGCAGCCGCAAGTCCATGGTAGAGATCGCGGACGTACGACCCCAGAGGAGCGAATCTACGGGATTCAAGTTGCTGAGGAAAGAGGAGGACGGAGCGGGGGACGGCGTGGTCAACGCCTGCAGAGCGATGGTGGACAGGAAGATGCACATAGCGTAGATCCCGAAGCCGCCCGCGATGCGCAGCGGACGGCGCTTCATTGGTCTGCTGGTGTCCGGGTGTTGCGAGGTTGAGGAATGGCGTAATGCGACCCCATCCGAAGGTCGCAGGCACGTCAAATAAGACAGCAACAAAAGCAATATATGTATTTATAGAGGTATCGGGGAAACAAGAATGTTCTGTTTGTTAGTCATGACTTTATTCAAAAATTAGATGTAGAAGGATATAATGTATTAGGAACAACGATTTGGCCACTGATGACGTCGATATAGAGGCTGAATGCTTGCTTTTGCGCGTTGGGTCTCGTTCATGTAGACGACGATACTGGTTTTGCATGGCGCAGTTTTAACGGACCGTCACCCATGAAGCTCTTTATTGCGCGGTCATTTGATATTCGGCGGTTTTGGTGGGCAGCAACCGCTAATGGACCAAAAGGGAGCCAGCGAACGGGAGGCTAGGATGCCCACAGGGATTTCCGCCCCGAGGTTGCACTTTGTTCTGTTTCACAATAGCGAAGTACAATAATCTATTTTACAGGTATTGGTCAAGATGGCATCCCGTCACAAAATGGTTAGCTTGGTGTGATCATTACTGTATCTGCGGAAGGTATGGCTGCTGCTGGCAAGATTCGATTGCGGCGGGTTGCGTTTCAGTATCGTTGATTGATTTCCAGACCCACCTTGCACTTGATCATCCGGAATACTACCCACAGGAATCCTTTCAGGACTTTTGCTGTGGTATCCAGCCATAGATACGCTCCTTTTCTCGCGTTGAAGATTGATTGCCCCAGAGCCTCGCCCAGCTTCAGCCGGAACAGGAGTCCAGCTGGAACTCATCAAGAGAGCTAGGTAGTGCTGAAAATCGAAGTTTTCACATGAGAGCTCACACATATATTTTAACGGTTAACCCCAACAATTTTGTCCTGCTAAAAATTGTAAAGTGCGATGAACTTCGCCCGACTTTGCTTTAGAACCAGCTAAGAGGGCAATTAATTACTCGGTGTTTGTAGGGATGGGTTTGATTCAGCTTAAGTGCGATATGTCATATAAGCTATTCCTTCTCGACCGACAGAACTGACATGAAGTCTGGTTCGTCATTAGGTCTTGATTCTCAGGAACTTCGAAGTTTCTTTCGTGTGATGTACTTGGTCTGTATATCTGCATCGTCGACTACACCCTCGTGAACACCACCTCTACGATGCTGTCCTAGCCCCCGGCACTGCTGCCGTCGTCAGCCTCTACTGCAGTACCCTCACGCTCCGAAGACTCCGAGCTGTCTTTCACCGCCGACCTCCTCCTGACTGACGCGTCTCTTTGTTGTTCGCAAACGACACTTGGGCTTTTCATCAACACTGTGTCACAGACAGGTTTGACCTCGGACTTCACATCCGTTTCCAGCGTGGTGCCTCAACAGGAATTGGGTCTTTTCGCCAAATGTTCTTTCGACTCGACAGATCTCCGAAGACCGGAGGCAACCACCGGTCGGCTTTCCTCGATCAGTCCACAGCTCCACAGGTCTCGCCTGTCCGCTCCCAACGCAGAACCTTTCCTCTTGTTCCTTGGATTCGTCGACCCCTCCAGTCGATCTGCGGTTGTATGTCCTCGGAGAACGGAACTCCAAGGATGCGCCAAATTCATCTGGTATCGCGTAGACTACAGCGACATAGGGGTAAGCGTAGCCTTCGCCAGACACCCCGATCCTCATGGGTAGGACTTTCACTTCGACCTCAACGATTTAATTGTCTCCCAGCTTGACACGAAAGTTCTTGTTCCCAAACTTTGTCGTCTTGATCTGATTTTTCGCAACCCAACGTTTTGAAGCGTATATCCTGGTAGCTCCACAGTCGAGTAGTATACTCGATGTGGTGAGACTAGTGTCTGTCACACTGATCTTTCCGGATACTGAGAATAGTGGACGTGCCTTGTAAACGATATGTTCTTCACACAGAACATTAAGACTGATATTTCCCAAACTTAGTTGTTCTGATTACGTTCTCCTCCACGCAACCACCCTCATTCAATGGCGTGGGTTCTCGTTTTCCTCCACGCAACCACCCTCATTCAATGGCGTGGGTTCTCGTTTTCCTCCA